GTCTTCTATTCTGTGAGAGTAAAGATTCTCAAAGTAGCTATTGATAATCTTCTGAATTTCCACTGAGTCTGTGGTAATTACACCCTTTTCATCCTATCTTATTCTTGCGATTAATTTGTGAAATACCTCATTAGGATTAGGTCCTGACTGAAGGCATCAAAGATTGTATTGTGCTTTTGGTAACCTCCACGAGTACATCATTTTGCATTATTTAAGTGGGACTGCTGAAAAATTTCTCTTAAGTATCCAAGAGAATGTGGGCCTCTATGGATTAAATTGATGTTCACTGTTTAGAAATTAAAATTGACAATTGAATGTACATGAATCTGTGTATGCAGACATCTGTGTGCCCAGTGGAGAAGTTTTCATGCAGTGTTTCCTGTGCATGGACCTCCTGCCATTCTGAGTTAGGATCTTCTGTGAGGTGGGCGTTCTCCTATGCAGCACAGGATGTTTCACAGGAGTACTGCACTCTGCCTAGGAGATGCCAGTAGCTTTCTCATTCATGTGGCCATAACCAACAATGTCCACTGTTGGAAAAGGTCATTCCTGTCAAGAACCACCTTGCTAACAGAAATAACAAGATATAACTAGGTTTTATCACTATGTTACATTTCAGTTCCTAATTTCAATTATGTGAAAAAATGTCTATCTGAACTTATTGCATTCCCTCACTTGACTGAACAGAAGAAAATTAGATTCTCATGTATACTGGCTCATTTTCAATGACTTTTGAAAAAATGATCAAACAACATATTCTCACAGAGATATATTTGTGAATATGTGCACTTTTAAAATTTTCAGATACTTGTGGATACAACACTGCAACCCTTAATTTCTTAAATTAGGTTCAATGAGATTTTACACGGTTCCTTTTATATTACTACATTCATTATTATTGGTCCATTTACAAAGTGAATAATATGTTTAACATTACATGATTGATAATATACATTGTTCAGCTTGGACACAACTGGGTCATATTTGTCTCTAATAACTAAAAAAACTTGTATTATTATCATCACCCTTCTGAGCAAAACGTCTTCCAGGTATTGAGAAGCTGTCACATACACAATAGAAGGTACATATTTTCCAGAATTTTGATTGTTAGTATTATTACTTGACTTTTGACACTGGCAAGAAATATATGTTCATTTTCCATGTAGACTCATTTTTTTTTTCAAATTTTGATACATGTAGTTTCATGCAGAAAGGGTGTATTATGTCAAGCAGCCTGTGTAGCTCACAACTAAATCACAAATGGCTTTTCTGAGCACAAATACACTTCATTATGCAAAAATGTTTTATATGAGCATTTCACTTATCTAGCATATATGAAACTAGGGCTAAGACTTACTAACACTAGTCTTCCCTGTTTCATCAACACAATCTTCAGAAAAAATGGCTTTCAAGCAAAACTACAAGAGACAGTGAGACATACTGACTGCTGATGTAATTTGGTACCACAGGCTTGATTCAGGTGGAGAGATCAGTCTTACCTCAATTTATAGACTAGCATTAAACGTGTCCATCCGCAAAAAATCAAAAAGTGTCTTCATCCATTTGCAAGAACACTTTGACCTCATGAGCCTCCTGAAAAAGAGACAGGGAAATCTGTAGAGGTCCAAAGACCATTGCAAAACACCTTTTAAGACAGCACACTGTACTTTCATGAAAATACTGGTTCCCTCTACAAAGGCAGCTAAGTTTTTAAACTACCTTCACATGATTTACAAGAAGAAACCTGGAAATCTTTACCTCATTCACATTGCTATATTTCAAGACTTCATTCCCCATTAGTGTTGCTTTAAGAGAATGCCTATTGAGGAAGATCATTCTTTAGAGGCACCTGTAGCTGATTATGTTAGACAACCTTCACATTATTTGATGCACTAAAGTAAAAGAAGTGTTAAGCCTAAATTCCAGGAAAAGAGTTGGGCACTCTGGTGTACTGAATGGTATGCCATTTTCCCCATCCTTCTCTACCACTACCAAGTATTTCAATAAGATGTATGTGATTGCACCTACATGCACTTTCTCTTTTACAGGGAGGCAAATAGATCCCTGGATATTTTTGATGAGAGATTGCCTCCAATGACAGTAAGTGTCACTTTGGTTGGGATTATAATTTTTTTAGCCAAGATATTATGTTTCTTTCATGCCATTTCCCTTTCACATTAGTTGAGATAACTACATCACATACTTTCATTTGAAATGAAATCATATTCTTTCCCATGTCATGTTGTATCTCATCTTCTTAGAAAAGGGACTTTTACATCAGGGCTATTAAAAACGGAGAAGCAGCTTGCAGTATTCTCATTGAGCTATGGTGAGGAAAGGTAGTATTCAACTACCAGAACACATAGCTTTTCAAAAAATACATTTCAGTAGCCCTGAGCAACACAACTATGAGTTAATAAAAGCCTTTGGACACAAAATCTCTTTGAAGAGAATCAGGCTCAACATGACATCAAAACTTTAAACTTACTTCCAATATATGATATCTTTTCTTGGCACTTCATAGTCATGTGACTACTGATCAGTGTATGTGACTTGATCCCTACAGTATGTAGATATGGGACACTAATTATACTTTTTACATGTTATCATAAGGAAATACAACATATCACCAAGATCACTTTCAGGCTAAACATGAATTTCTGAATTTTGTTAACAAAGGTAGAAAGAAGTGTTGATTTTGTACTGCTTAGCAATACAGTATACATTCTGAGAGATACACTGATGATGATTCCAGGCATGTAAAGCCTTTATACAGTTCACTTCCACAACAATGATGCTTATGATTCACAAGGTCGTTACTGTTGGGGCTTCTACTGTACATGTGGTCATCACTGATGAAAATGTCATTATAGACAGTAAAAGTCCCAGTGTTTATATTTGAAAATTTAAAGATATACAACCCAATTTCAATTTTTAAGACACCTCAGCAGATGATGAAAAGAGATATCTTAACATCACTTAACACCTTTCTTCAGTAAATACTGGCATTGTATCATTTCTCCTTCTAGAAACACAAGATTCCAAAGGAATATTTTGAGGATGATCCTGATTGAACTCTATTTACTGATTTGTTGCTAATATTTTTCATATTGCACGATTTCCAGCTGAATGTGCAACATTGGTAAGATGCTTTTTATTTATCAAGCATGCTTAGAAATTAGTCTGTAACATAGAGTAAGGACTTTTTTTCAAATTAGTATTTGGAAAATAGCACAACGTCTTTCATAAAGGCAGTTTTCTCTCCTTGCTTAGACAAAACATAGAAAACCTAAAGGTAAAATAGCAAAGGATTTTTAGATTCACAGGCTAAAGATGTTTTGGTCCACAATAGGTTTACACCCAGATTAGGTGGTACATGGCAGATGGGTAACAAGCCATAGCAGGGAAAGGCAGCAAAGAAATGAGACCAATGTTTGTACCTGAGCCTCTTTTTCCACGTTCTACTGTTGTCAATCTACTGGGATGAGGGCAGTGCCAATCCAGTCAGTGGACTGATCCTACAATCACACACACACACACTAACCCTAGCACCCTTAAGCCCAGCAGTGTACTTTCCTATTCAGCCACCTTGGGAAAAACAGGAGGCTTTGGGTAAAATCTAGACTCTAACTCTAACAAAGTCTATCAAATGAGGGGAAGGAAATATACTTGCATCCCATAGTGTAAAATGGTGTCTATTCTGATCACAGCATCATTACAATTAAACACAACTGAAGGGTTGACCCATGCACCTCAGTACACACAAACACTTAACACCATGAAAATTTACACATGGTGCGAGGGAGGAAGAATATCAATTATGAGACCATGTGAGACACAAAGGTTAGTTCTATGCAGGTCAATACAGGTCCCAGGTGGTGTTCTAGGCAATTCACTGCCTTCTATGCTCTGTTCCTTTGGTGATGGCAGTAGTCCATCCCTACTAAGAGCATGAGTCTGTTTAGGACATTGCCTAGGATGACAGTACCAGCACTTCTTAGAAAAGTTTTGTCAGCCTGATGTGTGCTAGCTGTGTCCTGACATTTGTGTAATCATACAGAGCTCTGAAAGTGAGATTTTGTCATGTCTACAATAACAAATGAGAAGTGGTCCCTTTGGATGTACAGGACAGGAACAGCAATCTGTCTCTGATATAAAGAAAAATGTGGTTATTCGAGTACCTGCAATGTACACAGTGAACATTGGGCAGGAGTTGTCAGAGACTCACTGTTGCATTTCAAAGAAAAAGTATCTAAAGAAATAGCAAAAGAATGGGGACAAATGGAGCAGAGGGAGATCAGAGAAATCAAAGTAATAGGAGGTTTGGGCAGAGTGTTCAAAAAGGCCAAGAAATATCTTCAGCACCCACTGAATACCTACTCTTTACTCCAGGGAAGTGGAAGGACATAGCACAACGTTTTTCTGTTTGTGAGCTCTAGATCTGGTGAAATAGCCATGGGATATGTTTCAAGTATAGGAGAATTTGAGGCTGGGATTTAGCTTAATGGCAGAGATAAAGGGTTAGGAGACAACACACTGATGCTGATGACCTGTGACAAATGGAACATCAGGACAGAGAGCTGTCAGTTTACCAATGTAGGTAGGTGGAACAAGAAATATACAGAGACTGAAGTAGGACATCTCAAATGTAGTTTTGGACTCAAGCTACTACAGAAGAGGCATTGCTGTTACACATTAGGAAGAGTTGGGAATGGAGAAGTAGGATGGACAACATCAATTCCGGCCCCAATTAGCTTGGCAGGAAGGTTTCAGGACAATATTGAAATCAGCCAGAATAAACTGGGGTAAGGAGAGAAGAAGAGGTGAGTGGCTGGCATAGACATTAAAGAGTGAGTGATGTAAGAGGCAGAAGTCTGGGAGACACAGCAAGGGGATGACAACAGTGTAAGCACATTTTTGTGAGGAAATCTATGAGAGGCACAATGTCTTCAAAAAGTGATAATTGTGGGAACAGTGTCCTCAAGAAATAGGATGAGGAAATGAAACTCATGGAAGAGCTGGCATTGTGAGAAGAACTCTGTTCCACTCACACAGCAGGTTAAGTGTTGCAAATGAATGTCAACCCAGAAAAAGAGCCTACAAAATATGTGAACAGAAGTTGAGGATTTATGTTCAGTTTTTCTACACCATGGAGCAATTTCAATAAAGAAAAGACCTGTGTCCTGAAACAGAGGCTCAGATTTAGGATCACTGAGGGAGAGGTTTTAGAAATGAATACAAATAGCATTGCCTGAAGTGAACTGCAGGTCTCAGAACTTCCAGACAGTAACTGGGCCCTCAAAGTCAGTCTTTTTTGTATAACATTCTGAAACAAAAAAGTGTATACAGTCTTCCCTCAGATGTCTGACATGTGTGCTTCTAAAATGTATAAGATTTAGGGACAAATTATATCCTAGGTGAGTGGCTAGGATTCCTACTGAAAACGTGCAGAAGGACTATAACAAGGACCATCCTATTTTAAATGTGGTTTGGAACACAGGCATTGATTTTAGGGAACTCGCTACAGTTCTAAACTCCTGGAATTATCATGCTTTTCTGCACAGCAGCCTCTGGAATGAGATTTCACTCCAATAAAATGTGCCACAAAAATATTAATAATGAGCCAAGAAGACAAAATGTACTCACTATGACTTTAGTATTACCTTGGACAATGGTTGGTATTAAATTGTTCTATTACAACCAGCTGGATACACTGCCTTGAATGTTGGAGCCACTCAAATTTCACTGAATAGCTTTACACTAGCCTGTACTTGTGGCTTTCATGAATATGAAGGTGAAAAAATTACCATATGCCGCATGTGTTTTCTGAGATGTTCTCTCATTTCTGCCACCAAAACCGTAAATAAATGGACATGGGCAGCAGAGGTGTCTGATTTCCATCTGTGACTTGACCTATTGCTTTAGTGAGCAAAATGTCTATATGACTTCCTTTTCTGGTCAGACACCGAATAACATCATGCTTATGACAGTTCTTAACAGTCCACTTCAACTGAGCTAATGAATAAACTGTGCTCTACACTTTGCAGATTTGCATAGAGAGACTTTTAACTTACGCTGACAATAACCTCTGCCCCACAAACTGTAAAAGGATTGTCTTGGAAGCCATGCTCCTGGCTTGCAAATTTTGGTATGATGAAGCTGTTTGAAATGGAGAGTTCTGCAAAATATTCAAGGAAATTTCAATTAAAGACATAAGAGTTTACAAGGGTTTGTTGACTTTTGTAACCATTTTCCAGTTCACTTGCCCCTAAGTGCATGGGTTTTAAGAAATATTTTAAAATACTATATTTTATAGCAAATGGAAATAGAGAAGTCTTATTGTATATCCAGTTATCGTACACAATTTCATATTTCCATCATTACTTGGTAGGTTTTGATGTATTTATTATTGTAATTATATTCCACATAAACTGAAAATAGTTCCGGTGATTTTTGCCAAATATTTTGTAAGCCTACCACCAGAATAACATAGTACAGTGCACAACTTTAGGACCTTCTAATAACTTCCAGTTCCAGGTCCTTCTTTAAAAGCTATTATGTCGGGTTTAGAAATATATGCATGGCTACTGTTGGTCATAGAATTACCATTTTGGTTGAAGTATAGCTTCAGCCCATCTTGTGTTGCATGCTTGTTTTTTACGGTTTAAGCCCAATTTCTCAACAGAGAATCTGTCACTAAAATAAGCAGGATATGTGAGAACAAACGCTCCAGATACCTGTCCTGTGGCAGTGTTGACTGTAGAAATAGGTCTGATCTGGTCTGATTTCACATGTTTGAGTATGCAGGGGCAGTTGCATATTGATATGGCAGAGGACTGCACTAGTCATTTCTTTTCCAATGAACACAACGAGCGTTTGTGTGTGTGTGTGTGTGTGTGTGTGTGTGTGTGTGTGTGTTCTCTTCTAGTGAGGGAAAGCAGATCTTGGATTATCTCGGCAGAGAAAAATGAGTGTGTGAGTCCAGAACTCTACCTGAGGATATCTCCTACAAGGGATTCAGTCAAAATTGCTTTCCCTAATGTTTCTGACTTTCACAGTTTCAAATAAGCATCTAGTCTGTCACCATAGCAATACAGTGACCTTTGGCACTGACTCACATACTTGGATGGTGAAGTGATTTTCATTGCCATACTGTATCGTTTTCTTCCTTCCTTGTTGACTTCTGATAAATGCTTGCTGCTGGAAGAGTTTGTCCACTCATAGAGTGCTGTGTCTTTCCTTGTTTCCCTTGTACTTCTGTAAGTCTTTCCCATAATGAGCTACTGAAGTTCAAGTTCATTTCCTCAAGTTCTTCTGGGTTAACACAAGGCATACCTGACTTCTTTTGTCTGTTCACTGTAGCATACATTCATGAATGTCTGTAGAGTGGGAGTCACACAGAGGATTTGGTGGACTCTGAAAAAGGAACCATGAGCCAGCAGCAAGCAGGGATTAGCAAGCATACCTTTCCCAATTGGGTAGCCAAGTGCAAAAGAACAGGGATTCTGAAAAGTCTTCAAGTAGATGTACAGTGTGGCAACAAGTGTTTCCTTACAGTTGGACAGCCTTCCAATGTCACAAAACTGAATTTATAGCAATCCTGCAAGCTCCAACTGACATTTTGGAAGACAGCCGACTTGAGTACATTTTTACTTTATGTGTTTTTCTGTATTCTTCCGCATCAGAAATCAACTAGAAATGCATTACCTGAATATTCTTCACTTTACTCTTAATGTGTCTGCCAGTGTTTATGCAAAATAGTACTTTGACCTTCGCTCTTTGATAAAAGATCACCACCTGCATTTTGCATCTGCACCTCTCACCAAGGAAAGAGCACAGAACTTAGAGGTAAGGCTGTGTTTCCTCTAAGGAGAATTTTCTGTGAGCCACTTGGAGACTGCATCATATAAGGTGAGGATAGGAGAAATACAAAGTGTCTACACTCAAGCGGTCACTAACCCATTGGAGTAAGTAATTTCCAAGTCACTTATCCTTCAAAGATCTGCATTATCATTAAAAGCGACATTGACTTTGACACCACTTGAGCATACTTTAGTAAAACTTAATTTGATGAAGCCTCAGGACATAACTCGGTGGTCTAATCACCAGCCTGGAAAGCACAAGGGGCTTGCTTGCATCCGCGGTAACACATGCTGCGCCACCCCCAAACCCTGCGTGCACCATGCAGGCCACTGAAACAAGGCATGGTGATGCATTCCTGTAACTGCAGCACTGGGGAGGCTGAGACAGGAGGATCACTGTGAGTCTGAGCTGTATAGACACACTCTGCTCCTAATGAAGAAATACAAGATATTAAAATGTTTTCATCTGATGATAATCATTTCCTTTTGAACCTTTTCTTTACTCTAATGACCTCTTTAAGTCTCCAATATCATGATTCACTCCTTGTAGCTCCTAGAGGTTTTTTTTCCCTTACCATCCATAGAAATACCACTCACTAAACTATTTGTGCTTATGTTTTACTCAATTTCCAAATTCTTGTCAGAATTCTGTTGTATCAACTCAAACTCACGATTTCCAGATATTTTTGTGCCTAATATGCAAGGCCCACATATAGGATTTGTGTTAGGCTTGTGTTTCACATATGGTAAGTAGAGGCTGGGGAGATGGCTCAGTACAAGAAGGTCTTGACTGTCAAGGGCCTGAGTTTAACCCCTAGTTCCGAAAAAAATGAACAAACAAAAAATACAGCAAGTTGGAAGAAGTCAGGTTTTCAAAGGAAGCAACAGCTTGCATGGGGCAAGATAACAACATTTACAACATTTTTGCTGAGTGTACACCAAATACTTTTGACCTGAACTAGAGGATTATACTCAAATATCACCCTCTGCAGTGCCTCAGTAGCACAGTAAGTTCCCAAATTACAAACCTATTTGTGGAAACCTTACACAGATAGAATAGTGCTCATTTTCTTCATGTTTTACATTTTAGATTTCTGTCTTAGGTCAAAGACTCATTTGGGGGGACGTACAAATGTTTCCAACTTAGGAGTAACTGAACACAACTCATTAAGTGGCCTGCGCTTTACTGATTTTGGTTATTTTGAGTTTCTCTCTTCTAAGTCACGTGCACTTCAAGGGCATGCTTTGATGTTTCAGTCAATAAACCTGTCTAGTCCTACAGTAGAGATCACTCTGCCCTCTGTGGAAGCAGCTTAACATTTGGAATAACTAATAAATTTCAGGTGGGACTGACATAGCTCAGCCAGTGTTTGATGATTCTTTTGCTCCTCTATGCTTTTATCATGTTATTATCATTGTAGTGAACAGTTCCTTAGTAGAACAAGGCATTCTTAGGAGACTTTGTCACAAAATCCTTGTCATCCATGAAAACTCCACCTGAGTGGAGCCTATCACTGAACTTCCCCTTTCCTATTAATTGCATCAAGCACCTAAAAGGAAGTTAGGGGACTGGCAGGAAACAGCAGCCTCATAACCTGCCAGTGCAAGCCTCAGAAGGCCAAAGCAATGTGGTCAGAAAACATCTACAGGAGTCTGTAGCATGACTGTACATCAAGCGTAGGAATTTTTTTCTTTAACTTTGCAATCTTTTAGAAGTATTCCACCTGCATTAACTTTCTTCTCTTTTCTAGGCTATGTCAACATTTTGTGAAGATGAAGACTTGTGCAGAGCTGCTATGAAGCTATCTCACAGCAATGGCAATGTCATGGGTATTCGACTGTCAAATGCCATCCTCTCATAAAAGGAAGAAATGGAGACTTCAGCTCAGAATCTCATCATTTACCAAAGCTGAAGTGATACCACCTATCTCTTGATTACACAAAAAACTTACAACCTTCAACATTTTACCAAAAGGAAATACCTTGAACTTAAGCAACTCCTGGACAGAGAAGGCCATAGTTCATGAGAAAAGAACTTGATAACACAGCAACACATGACATCATGATGTCCTCATTCACAAAAGATGAAGAAATAATAACGACCTATGCCTGGAGAACAAAATCAACAATTTGAATATTTTTATCAGAAGGAAAGATCAGTAATTTAAGGAACTCTTGGAGAATGAAAGGAGTACCTCATGAAAGAGAAACTACTTAAAGCAGGAACACATAACCTTTCTTGATTGATCTGAGCAGCGCTACAAACACTGCAAAGCAGGAGCACCCTGCTGACAGAGACATTTACTTACTTCACAGGCCAAAGTCTGTGAGTTTCATTAGTTTCTGGAAATAAGACTTCAAATTTAAACTCATTTAAAATTTCAATTTTTAAAATTAGATCATGAACACATCAAAGACCTAATTTAAAAAAAATAAAGTTCTAAATGAGTTCAGATTAAAACTCTTACTCAAAAAACCTCATGGAGCTCAGAGACATTGGCCTGTGAAGTAAGCAAATGTCTGTTTCAGCTGGGTAGTCCTGCTTTGCAGGGTTTGTAACTCTGCTCACATAAAGGAAAGAAGGAGGTATGTTGCTACTTTAAAAAGAGTACTCATACAACAGCTATCCCTCTGTGCATACTGCTCTGTATCCCCTTAGGATTTGTCATACCACCTTTAAATTACCAAGGAAATAGTTGGTTGCAGGGAGCAGAGGGTAAAATCTAGGATTTTAGCCATGTCCTGGGCAGTCTCCACCACGGAGCTACCCACCAGGCCCATATGTGGGAGTGTTCTCTCATTAGACTGATGTGAAGTACGCTGCAGCACTGTCATGTATTGAAGGTTTTTCCTTCATGTGTTACCACTGAGTAGTTAGTCCCTATTCTTACTCAGTTTATACCTAAAAGGTGCTGAAAAACAACACAAGCCATTTGCATTCTTGGAAAATGCTAGGTACTAGGTCAATTACATGTTTGTGATCCTAACTAGAAAGCATCAGTTATTGTCTGTCACCTTATATTTGGCTTATTGATGCATCTTGTCACTTCTTAACTGTACTTCTCAAATACTGATGATTTTCCTCTTGATAAACATGTTTATATTTCCATAATGAGAACCAACATGGTGGTTCAATGATGATTAAAGACAGTGGAGTACAAGATGTTGCAACATTTATGAGCCATTTTAAGATGTACTACTATCATGTGTCTTCCGGTGTAGTGTAGCAAGTATAAAAGCTTCCAATTTTACATCTTTGGAATGTCATGTGTGGCAAAGAATTTTTCTCCTCCATATAAAAATAGTACTTTAAAGACACTGAAATATAATTTTGATCACTTAACGTTATTGTCTCTACATGCTGTAAAGGAAAATTACTAAGACAGTGTTCGTTAACATGCAATGAAAAGGAATTAGACTCCATTGGAAAGTTTCACTTTGGCAAATTTCAATTATTAGCCCTTTATTTTTAATATTTTTTCTGGTACCATTAAAGGGAATAGAAAGGACAACAAGACCAAAACATAAAATTAAAAAGTTGACATTTGACATTCACGAAGTTAAAATTTCCAGATAATACATGCAGAACTTGTAAGTCCTATATTTCCACTGCTTTTAAAGCTTCAAGGAACACTATGATTTTTGGAATGTTATGTATGTCAAAGAATTTTTCTCCTCTTATTGTATAGTATTTTCATAGCGCTAAACTATAATTTTGAACAGTAAGATTTATTTTCTCTAGCTGTTGTAAAGGAAAATTACTAAGACTAGTGTTCATTCACACATAATGAAAAGCAGTTAGACTCCATTAGCAGCAAGGGATATGAAAGCTTATTTTAAAATCTATGCCACATTTCACCAGGCCTATAGGTCTCTATTGCAAGGGTTTCTGCTGCAGAAACAACTTAGATCTACCTTAGGAATGTTACTACATAGCACAAAGTATAAAGTTTATGCTATCTTGAAAGATTTAGACCAATATCACGTAAATTTGAAAAATTAAACAGCATGAATATTCTTGCCACAATGAAAGGCATACCACTTACCTCTCAAATGGAATGCTAGGAAGCTTGCCTCTAACAATTGATATAACTGCTTCTCACGGTGCAATTCTACCCAGACCGTTGAGTGCTGCTGGCTGCAACACTCTTCAAAGAGACTTGAATGAAGCGCAATAGCAATATTGCTATCTCTTCCCTAAAAGGACAACTGGGAATGAAGATACAATTTGAAGATATGCGTATCGATGGCAGCCTTCCATTTGAAAACATGTAAATCTCTAAGTGGTTTTTCATGCTCTTGTTAATATTTTGTAAGTTAATAAATTTCTGATTAAAGGAAAGCTAGTATCTTTGTTAAAATTTCTCTATAATCACATCTCTTCAGAATTAAAATATTTTACATAATTCTAGATGTGTTTAAAGTGTTCTTAAACTGATCCCACAAAAGTTGCCCAAAATAAACATCTTCTCTGAAGCTTTCATTTACAATGCAACCATAATGTACATTGACAGTGTGTTTAGGGAGCAAACCATGTGACAAGAAAAGCTTTCTTAACACAAGCCAAAGAGAAATGGACAATAGAAATATAAATTTAGCTGAGGGGTTTGAATTTTGAGGAGAGTAACTGCAAGTAAATGAATTGCAAAAAGTAAAGATGGAGGTGCAATGCAGGGTTCACCAAAGCGGTTCATACAGTTTTATATTAACATACTGTTTTCAAGCACATAGTTCATTACAAATAGAAAAAGATCTGGAAGCTTTCATCTAGAACTAACAGGCTGGGGTTAACGTTCACTGGCAAAAGCACCTGCCTGGTACAGGCAAGGAACTCATATTGATGCCAAGTACCAAAAAATAAATATAGATACAGAGATGACAGATAGAGAGACAGAGATATAGAAATATAATTAGCTTATCAGCTGTAGTAATTTTTAATCTCCATCGCATTGCTGTATGTTTATTTACTTATAATCTTCCAGGACCTACAGTGAAGTGGATATGACCTTATTTCTCTTAACCTGTATAAAATGGTAATCAGTCTGATTTAATAGTAAGGAAACCTGTTGAATAACTATGATTCCCACACTTTATCAGTTCCTAACAGGTAACTTCATGAATAATTAAAAAATGAATTTTAAAGACCATAGGATGAGGCACATTGCAAGTACAAATTGGAAAAAAAAAAGTAGGATCATTAAACTTGCTCTTCCCTCTTGGTCTGCACTCTAGAATGTGACATGGACTCTACAATGTGGACAGTGGACCATATTACCCAATTAACTGCGTTCAAAGTAGGTAAGTTTTCTGGTAAACTATGGAACACAGAAATGAAATTGCTGCCAAGGAATTAAGTGTCACTTAGGTCAGGTTTCTCAGTGAAGGCAACGTTACCATTTGAACCCCGAATATCTATGCCTGAGATTCTCCATGTACTGGGGCATAAATCAAGGGCTTCTATACTAAGAAACATACCTGTTCTGTCTTTATAATATTGAGATGGTTCCTAATGACCAAAGTTGGGTTCTCACTAAGCCATTGTGAATTCAAAATTGTAATCCTCTTCCCAAATGAGT